ACGACCAAATTCCACATTAATGAAAGTGCTCTCGCCAGCACTGTCGTGCCTGAGACATCTCCAATACCTGTAATTGATTTTTTTTACTGCATTTGCCTGTCACTGATGTGCTTCCTGTGTGCGCCTGTTAGTGGGCTACCGTTGCTCGTTCATGTAGATGATTCAATTACGTATTAATGTGCGCTCGTCAGGCATGGGTTCTTTACGATGTCAAGATCAAGAGCCACAGGGTGTTGGAATAGAAAAGTCCAGCTGTGTGTTTGGAGACTTTCATTTTGCAAGGCAAATGCAGTTTAGAATTTTGTAATGAGATTTCAGCGTCTGACTCTCCGTTCGACAGAATATCTGTGGGTGGTTGATGGGCACCAGTGGTTGATCTTACTACTTTCCTTCCCCTCAGTTGTTATTTTCCTGTGCACTTAATGACCGCTATTGAGTAGACGTCTGTCTCTGTACCCAAACCAAAATTAAACGGATTCACAGAAAATGTCAGAGAGTCTTAGTAGAGATTTGACTCAGTATTCATCTTGTATGCATGATAGCTGATGGATGATAGCTGGTTTGTCTAAAGTTGTCTTTCTAATTCACGCGTGATTGGGGTTGTTGTTATTGTTTTGTTTTGTTTTTTGTTATCTGCATGCTCCTCTTTCAGGGGTTAACATACATTGTATATATATACATATAATGTGAAGAGTGACAAATCCACCCCCCCCCCTTCTGGGGAAAAAGACAGGCAGGCAGGCAGGCAGGCAGGCAGGCAGATAGATAGATAGATAGATAGATAGATAGATAGATAGATAGATAGATAGATAGATAGATAGATAGATAGATAGATAGATAGATAGATAAAAGCCTTAACGACCGGAGAGTGGGCGAAGAAAACGACCTAAGAGTTTAAAAAAAGCTAGCGAAAACAAAGAGGGCTGCAAATACAAATACAAATACAAAATTTGTTCCTTCTCAGTTGTGGGGAAAAGGGAACTTTTATAAAATAAAGAAAGAAATTGAAAAATGTAACAGCATCAAAACTTCACTACCTTAGAAAACTAGAGACGGGCTGGGAGATACGGCATGAAACAGGCAAGCTCTCGTAGATCTAGATCTATACATTCTCAGAAAATAGTAAAAAGCTGCAACGCTAATGATTTTTCCTTATGTACGACATGCACGTACGTTCCGGTGTGAGTGCACTGTTATTAAGCTTCTTTTGCAACTGCCAATTTTCCTCGCATACCCCCATGTTTAAAGATACCTCATCCTGTGTATCGATCACACATCGAAGCTTTTAACCCTCCTTTCTGCAATCACCCCATTGCCTTTTGCCCTTATTCTATGCGAATCAGAAGTTGTTGGGTTTTTTTTAAAATAAAAAGCGCACAGTAATTTAAAACAAGCTAGTCCGAATGTGTTAAGTGGGGTGTACACTTATGCGATTTCTTCTTAACTCGACTGAATCCATCGAATGGCGCCTGCAGTTACAACAGCACCAAAATAAATACATAAATAAATAAAAGATATTTGTAAAAAGCACAATTTAATCTATAATAAATAATACAGACCCTTCCCAGTTTAT